ACAGACGGAGTGAGAGAGAGAGAGAGAGAGAGAGAGAGAGAGAGAGAGAGAGAGAGAGAGAGAGAGGCAGGGGAAACGAGGCAGGCTGTCCATCAACTTCCAAAGCATCTCCAAACACCGAGAATAAAACTCCTAAAACAGGACCTCCTCGTTCTATACATACACTCAGTTCTACTCGGGAGAAAGGAGTCCCCCTCCCCGGCCCAATTCACCCTCATTGCTCCACATCCCTTACAGATTTACTTGGAACTGAACGCCCACGGATTTCAGGAGAAACTCTTTTCCAAGGAAAACGGAGAGGTATCTAACTCTAATAACCTGATCGCTAAAAACTTCCAGTTCATCCGCTCGCCCCCTCCTGCGCTCATTCACACGATTCGGTCCATTTCTGCAACTCGCCCCTGCTTTTTAAAAGAAGGGAGGGTAAGTATTCAAACACCCTTTTGCCTTTCCCCGGGTTTTGTGTGTGCGCGCGTGTGTGTGGACTTTAATGCTTCTCTTTCCGTGTATTTGTATATAACAAGAAAGAGAGAAAGAGAGAAAGTCAGGGACATGCAAATGATAAGCAAATCGAAGGAGACAAAAAGAGAGGCTGCGGTTAATAAACAAGACAAAGGAGAAAGACCAGACCAGGAGTTTAACAGGGAACCGGTTATGGGGACCGCGGGTGGGGGGTTGGGGGGGCGAGAGAGAAAAGGAAGGAAGCCTCAAGGTTTACATTCACACAACGTTAAATCTTTCTCCCATCTTAAAAAAAAAAAATAGGAAAGATCAATAAAAGGACTGCGGGGAGAAGAAGAGAAGACAGACAAGCCAAGCGGGCGGGGGGAGCATTCCCAACACCAACATTGTCCTTTCGAAGTGGACAAACTACTATGATAGTTCTGCTGAAGCTTAGGAGTATTTAAACCGAGAAAGATAATCGGCTTCTTAGAAATTCATTCTCACGTCGTTACTTCTGATAGAAAACTCATTGGACGGGAAGAAATCACCAAGAAAGGACGCGATCCCTGCGGGGAAAGGGTGTCTCCAAAGGGAAAAGCAAAAAGCCCCCCCCCCCCACGTCCAACTTGATCCGGCATGGCAAACAAGCCGGTGTCTGCGTTAAGGACCCCCCACTTCTGAATTCCATCCTCTCCCCCCTCCAACCCCCCCCAAACTAAAAACCTCACACAAAAACCCAAAGAGAAAACGAGAGAAGTGAAGAGACGCGGATACTTACTCAGTTGCAAAGGCGATGAAACTGAGCCCCCTCTCCCTCTGTCTTTCTCTCTTTCCCCCCCTCCCCCGATGTCTAAATAGAAGGCGAGGGAGACCGAGATAGAGGGAAACACACACACAAAACACACACGCACGCACACACGCGCGCACGCAGAAATACACAGCTCGGAGATCTTGCCGCTGATGAATATTGTAATTGGCCCAGGGAGGGTGGAAGGGAGCGTGCCAGGCTCTCTGTGTGTGTTTGTCTGTGTGTGTGTATGTGTGTGTGCGAGAGAGAGAGAGAAAGAAAGGAAACGAGTGAGTGTGCGAGGGAGAGAGAGAGAGAGAGAACAGAGGAGGGAGGACCCAGCTCTTCTGCGCGGCTCTTCTTTCCCTGGCTGGAATTGCCTATTATTTCTGCAGGCAGCAGAGCAGCCTCGCTCAGCTGAGGTCTCCGCACCACAACAAGATTTACTTTAAGACACAGCTGAAGGAAACAGGAAGACTACACGTCACGGTCTGAGTGACGTGCGCCAGGCCCGGCGCCCAATCGGGAGGCTTCTTCGGATTCAAGGGGGGACAGCGAGCGGAGAACTTGGGAGAAGGGGAGAAAGTGGAGGTTGGGGGGGGGAGAGAGAGGAAAAGAGGAGGAGGAATTGGGTCTCTTCCTTCCCCCACCCCACTCCCTCCTCTCCCATCCCCTGCCATCATCCCCTTTCTCCACCCCTCACTGTTGAGGGGAAAGGAGACTTTGATCCCCCAGTTTGGGGGAAGGCAGCCATCTATGCCCGGTTCGGAGTTCAACCTTGCACGATGGACCAGTGACAGGACTTGAAAGATCTTTTAGGGTGGGAAGAGCTAAAACATTATCCAGGAGGAGAAGGAGAAGAAGGAAGGTGCACCCGATCAAAAAAGCATCCACGTCCATTATTTATCTTCCTGGTCATCCGAACAGATCAGGAAAAATACGTTCACCCCAAATATGCAAAAAATGCATGTCATTAGCGCGGCACTGTCCGAAATGAATGCATTTTACTTGGAAGCAAGTTCTGCAAAGCGCTAAAGGGCATTTCCTAGGAAGGACCAGCGCTGTCGGGTTTCTGTTTAAGCAGAACGCAAAGCCAGGCATTTAGGGGATGAGCATCCTTTTCTAAGTGTGCATCATTAAGACAGCCCCCATTTTTTGCAATGTTAATATAATGAGGGATCTAGGACGGCTTTTAAAGCCGAGAGGACTTTCATTCCTTTTAAGTAACTGTGTTGGTAATTTGAGGGCCCGATCCGCGAACCAGTTAAGCCGACGTATTTCCAAAGTGGGCCCTTTTCTTCGGACTACTTCGGTTTAGCGCGGCGACGGGTTGGACTGTGTTGCCGCCGCTTGGGCAATGAATGGCACGGCTGCAGCGGGGAGGGAGGAGGGGTGGCACCGGGGAATTGAACGCGGAACGAAGCCAAAGTGCCCTCATTCCATTCAGACAACCGCTAGTGTGAATGACCAAGAAACGGGTCTCAGTCTGGCAGACTCTGAAAACTATAGAATCAGGGGCACTGAAAAGGTCAGGTTCATCACGGTATGTATCTATCCTCTCTCTCCCATCTTTTCCCCGCCCCGTCTCTCTCTCTCTCTCTCTCTCTCTCACACACACACACACACACACACACACACACACTTACACACGCACCCCCCCTCTCACCTTTCTGTAACCCTAGACCCAATAGCTGCTGTGCTGGGAGCCTAATGCACGGCTCGAACACTTAGATATGCGCAAATAGCTGCCTTAAAATAAATTAGGCACGTCCTGTTTGTTTATTTTGGAAACCTCATCAACACCTCAGATAAAAAAAAATTCTGCTAGTACTGAATTTAAGGTGCTCCGCGATGTCCTGTTCTCCCTTTCCCCATCGCCCACCCCATATTCCCGGGAAATGCAGAGAAACTATGAGTCGAGCTGAATCTTAAAACCCCGACAACCGCTCCTCAGTTATGATGCGTGAACCTCCCTGTATATAAATACGTGTGCGCGGGTACATAGGCTTGAGTGTAGATAGATTCACTTAGGCTTATTCTAAGGAGAGTCCGAAATGTTCCTCTGAAGTTCACAACAACCGGTTTCCACAGGTCATCATACAAAGAGCCTTGGATCCCACATCAAATTTGGGGAGGGGGGAATTATCAGTATCTCTGGAAAGTAATCCGCTCAGGAAAAACGATCCTGTTGTTTTAAAACACTGGTACCTAATTCAGGTTCCGACGTGTGTACTCCATAAACTCGTCATCCTTTCCCCTCAAACGTGTTAATTCTAACCCAAGCTTATCTCCCTTGTAGGGGAAAACAAAAACGTGCTTTTTGTTACTGGGTGGGTGAGGGAATATGAGAAATAGCATGTTTAGACTTGGGGAAGAAAAATCTAACTTTCTAGAGAATGACAAATCAGAAATATCAGGCTAAACCTATAGAATCAGGGGCACTGAAAAGGTCAGGCTCAGCTCGGTAAAGGCAGGTGCTTTTCTTCCTACATGTGACCAAATGTACTGTATTTTCCAAAAGCCTGCGTGTAAAATATTTCAAAACACATCCTTAAATTTTTTTTAAAAAAAATCTGTGTTAGTTACGGCCTCAAGAAACCTATACGTACATATTTAGAATTTAAAACTCCTTGATACAGAGATCTCTCTATGCCGACAGGTAGTTTCCCCTCAAGTAGGGCGCCGCACTGATTTCGTGCGCGCCTCAGTTCACTCGCCGACTCCTCGAAGGGATTCCCGCTCTTTACGACCTTAAAACTCACTTTCTAGTCGCTTTTGTAACCATAGACGGATAGAGAGCTCGGCGGACCGACCGACAAATGTGCCTGCATTGAGGGAGGGGAAGAGGGTTGATTATTTCGCTTTGGCTCTCTTTGTATATAACATTTCTCTTTTCGTCCCTTTTTGCCCCGCTTCCGCCTCTCTTCTCCAACCCAACTTTAAAAAAAGAAGAAGCGAGGCGCCCGGACAAAAAAGGGGGACCGAGGACGATAGAAAACAACGACTTAAAAACCTCGAATTTAAAACGTTAAAAAAAAACAACAAACGACCCACAGACCGCTAGGAAAAGAAACAGCGGCTGCGACGGCAGGAGGGAAGTTAGAAAGGGACCGACGGCGTGCTTGGTGGGGCTGTGGCGCGTCTCTTGCACTGGGAAAGTGTGTTAAAATAACGAACTGGGAGTGACTTTGGAGGAACTGCCTTCTCAGGGAAAGGAGAACAGGGTGTCCTGAGGGGGAACCGTCCAGGCAGCACCCTTAGGCGCTGACTTTCCAGTGACTACAGAGGAGAGTGAAATAGGGAGGGGGGGGGAGAGAGACGCTCCAGAAAACAAAATGTTCCACGCCCCCTTCCTTCCTCCTGCGGACTTCTGGAGAGTATTTCCATCCTCGGGGCTATTAACAGGCGGTTGCCCTTTCAGGAACAACCCCCCCCCCCATGCCCCTTTCTTGTCTTTCCAAGATTTGCTACGTGTGAGGGAAAACACACACCCAAACCTCGGATTCGGGCGCGTGCATTCCGGGGAAAGGGGCGAGAAGAGGGACAGGGTGACCCGACGGCAGCCCCCCCCTCCCCTCGCTTTTGAATATCGGTGGTTTTTAGAGCTCGCTCGCTCGCTCTCTCCGTCTTTTGCTTTCTCTCTCTTTCGTCGTTTCCTTTTCCCTGGAGGGAAAAAAAAACCCTCCTGAATCTCTGATGCGACTCTCCCATCTGTTTCCTAATCTGTTAGGTGAGGCAGAAGAGTCAGGAGGCGAGGAGACCTCAGTTGTGCAGAAGGAGAAGCTCTCCGCCCTTCCCACTGGGACGCACTGCCTTCCCCCTCCCCTTGCAATACGTCTCCTTATCTTATTGTAAAAGAGGAAACCAAAGTTTAGTACCTCCTGGAGATTATGATTATTTAAAGTCGGGGGCAGGATCGGTCCTTGGACTCGGCAAGTTCTCAGGAGAACTTCTGCTTTTTTTTTTTAAACTTTGCTTTCTTAAAAAAAATAAAAATGACCAGCCCTTACCTTCGCTGCCACCGTTCTTTCTTCCTTGATTTCTACTCCCAGATTATATGCCCTCAATGTGCACGTCCGGCGGATTTATAAACTTGTAAAAAGCTCGACGGCTTCGTGGTTTTGTGGGGTGTGTGTGTGTTGTTTTTCCTTCATCTTCCCTCCTCCTCCCCCCCCTCCGACCAAGCATCCTATTTTGAAAAGCGGCAGAATAAAAGTCGCTGCCCACTGCTTGATGGCCTTTGTCTTAAACCGAGAAGCCGCCAGACCCGGTTTAACGGGCAACCTGTCGGGTTTCTTTCCCCCTCTCTCCAAAGTGGCGGGTGGTTATCCCGCTGAGAGGAGCGCCTCGGCGGCAACCCTGGCCTCGCTCCCCCCTATAAGCGAGACGATAACCGCGCCGTCGGCCAAGGCCGTCGGTAGCACCTACAGGGGAGCAATTCCCTCACGGGAAAACCAGGCCGCTTTGCTCTGACCCCCTTCAGAAGTGAGGTGTTTTGTTTAACCGACGGCTTCAACAGCCTACACAGAAAAACAAAGGCGCGCCTCCGTGAAGCTCAGCTGGACTCGGCGTTTGAAACTACGCACCGATAAAAAAAGGAAAAGTTTCCCGCCGTTGAAATAACGAGCTGCCTTTATTCCGCCCCCGGACCCCTCGCATCGCCCACAAAAACAAGCAGCGGGGTGGTGGTGGTGGTCCAGATTGATACGCACGCATATAAAAGCGGTATCAAGTAGTTCTTTGCTGGCCTTGGGGAAGAGCTGGGCCCGGCTGACCCCCATCTCCGCCACTCTTTCCCCCTCCCCACGTGACGCGTTGGATAAGTGGGCCTCCGCGGCCCGCGCTGCGAAAGTTATAGCTCCATTCTCTGGCCATTTCCCGCGTGATTCTGTAGGTGAGCTGAGCCGGAACAGTTGGTTCATTACTCCCTGAACCGACTTGTTTCATTAACGTCCCGTTTTACAGAAGGTGGGCCCATATTCCCACGTGATGAAGGCTTAAGAATAAGTTGCATTAGGTCGTGTCAGAGGGTTCAGCTCCCCCTTCCCTCATGGTAGGGCTGAATGGTTCCAAATTCAACAGGTGCAGCTTTCCAACACTGGTAGGAAGCACTCTCCTTTGAACTGCATTAGAACCCAGCCCTTTTTGGCGGTTTTTGAAATGTATAGGTGGAGAACAGAAGCTGTTCTGGGTCAGGGGAGGAAACAGTCCAGGTCATTCTTAGTGGTCCTGAAGAGTGCTGGTAAAAATGCTGGCGGGTGGATTCTTAGAATTGGATTCAAAAAAAGAGAGTAACTTTTCCCAAGCTCTGATAACAGCGCACTCATGGTTGAAGAGGGATTAGAGATGAGGTTTCACTGCTATGTTTTTGAACATTACAATGGAACAACAACTTGCAACCGACTGGTACCAGAGATATATAGCCAGTACTGGCTTCGCCTCAGGCAACGAAACTTTCCAAAAATCAAGACATTAACAGATGGTGGCAACCACATGGAGAGATGATGTTGCTTAGAGAGAACCGAGTCATTTCACTCAAGCCGATAAAGAGTGAATCCCAGAAGGACACAGTGTATTCCGAAGAGTTCTGCACTTGGCCCATCTTTATCCCTTTCCCTTCTGCTCCCTGTTTCATCAGCTTCGTGTGTTTTTTTCCCCCTTTTTATTTTGGAGAAATTCAAATTTCAAATAACCAAACCAAACGCTTCTTGCGGGCCGCCAAGTGTCTGTGTGGCATTCAGGATGTTCAGAAATCTCTGTGCGTAAAAATGAAACAAGTTGGTCCAGTGGGTAATGTCTGTGGTTGAATCAATGAACATTATTTTTAAAATAAATAAATACACTTAAAGGGATATTCTGTGGAAAAGGATAGGAAGCGATGAACGGATACTAATGCTGATCATTGTGTTTGAGAACTGGGCTGCCATCGTAGAATCCAGTGGAAAATAGAAACAAGAACATTTAGATCCTTTGTTTGTAAGTGTATATGAATTTGAAAAAAAAAAAACACAGTTTAATTAACTGAAATAACGTTAAAATGACACATACCTAGTCTCTTATTCCACCTGACTGAGAAAAGGAGAGATGCAATAACTCAGATTGATCAGAAACCTTACAAATAAGATCCCGAAAGCTTTGGGATTAGAAAAACAAAACCTTGTTTCATTTCACTTCTTGGAATTATTTTCAGTATCCAAAGATTATTTGTACGACGGAGCGAGTAAACATTATTTTCTATATATCTTAACTTATATAGTAACTTTAAAAGATCTGTGAGAGGATGAAAAAACAAATTCACAACTTTGCAGAATAGAAAGGCCAGTAAGATGAATTGATCTTGGAAATACCTACACTACCCAACAGCTGTATTCCAATTTTACCGTCAAGGGTATTTCCAAAGAATTGTACTTTGGTGAAAGAGCAACACACTGCATTCTAACAATCCTCGAACTTAGAGTGAGAATAATTTTTCTGGATTGTTGCTTCTGGAATCCTGCATCTGGTATGATCAGTAAGTCTCTAGAATAGGTGGGGAATGATGGGAGCTATAGGCCAAAAAAAACCAAACAAACAAACAACCCTTTTTAAGCTGTGTATTGGTTCTTGCAAAATGATGGCATGTAAAAATCTCCTATATAAACAGAACAGTTGCTCTATTAGTTTAAGGATGTTGCATGGATATTTCCAATTACTATATATGGGTGTGAAAGCTGGACAGTAAAGGAAACTGACAATGAAAAAAAATTGATGCATTTGAAATATGGCGCTGGAGGAGAGCATTGTGGCTACTCTGAATTGCTAGAAAGATGAACCAATGGGTTCTAGAGCAAATCAAGCCTGAACTATCTCTGGAGACAAAAATATTTAAACTGAAGCTGGCCTACTTTGGGCACAACATGAGAAAGCAGGAGTCTGGAAAAGAGACTAATGCTGGGAAAGGTGGAAAGCAGCGGGAAACGAGGAAGACCAAGTATGAGATAGACTGACTTCCTAAAGGAAGCACAGGCTTGATTTTGCAAGAGCTCAGCAGGGCTATTGGGGACACGACATTTTGTTGATTGCTTATTCATGGAGTTGCCATAAGTCATAGGCGACTTGATGGCACATAACAGCAGCCTCATGTTGTGTAGAGATAACATAACATCCAAGCTGCTGATTTCTATTTGCACTTCAAGTCAGCTTTTGCTAAGTGATAATCTTCAGTGGTTGAACCACTTGTCTTTCCCGTGAACAGTCTGTACAGTCAGTCTCCGTTCCTTGTGGCTGTGAATCCTCCCCACTCCTAGTCCTCCAACCCCATTTGCATCTGTTTCCTTTTCTGACTCCTCTTTCCTTTAATTGGCCAATTTGGCTCATTTTTTTGGTGTATCTCAAAGTGTCAGGGCATTTCATCACCACCCAGTGAATTCATCAGGAGATGATAAGGGTGATGAGGAGAGATGGGTGGCCACCTTTCTATCAGGTCAGACTATTTTATCCATCAAGCCTAATGTTGCTTGCTCTAATGAGCAGTAACTATCCAGAGTTTCTAGCATGTACCCTGTTTCCCTGAAATTAAGCCCTACCCCCAAAATAAGCCCTCGTTAAGTGAAACACCACCCTCCACCATTGTGCAGCAACCAGAAGAAGATGACATGACTGTATTTGAATAAATGTAGCCTGTTGTACATGAAAAAAATAAAACATCCCCTGAAAATAATCCCTACTGCGTTTTTTGGAGCAAATTTTAATAATAAATAGACCCTGCCTTATTTTCAGGGAAACATGGTAGTCTCCTGCTACATGTCTGTCTTAAATTTAGATATAAGTTACTGAGTATTAGGAAGAGCACCTTGATGTTAAGAGCTGTACAACAGTAGACTAGACTGCCTCAAAGGTGATGGAATCACCTTTCCTAAGAGATCTATTTTTTAAAAAGCAGAAGCTTCTCCAAGGGATGCTTCAGCTGTTGGTTTTCCACATTTTCAGAGGGTTGGGATACAGGACTTTCAAAGACCTTATTACTCCATGATTCCATGCATCCTTGGGATGTACTAAATGCAAAGCAGATGTTCCACTATAAAGTGGTTTTCCCTGTTTGTCCAGTGACATGGGTCTGTCTGGGAACTGAACCCACCCAAACGAAGCGCCATATCTTAGACCAGTGGTTCCCAGCCTTGGTTCCCCAGATGTTTTTGGACTACAACTCCCATAAAACCGTGGCTGGCATACCTAGTAGTGAAGGCTTCTGGGAGTTTTGGTGCAAGAACATCTGAGGACCCAAAATTAGGAATCAGTGTCTTTGTGAACCCAAGAGAAGAGACATTTTGAAATAGAGCTACAAGAGTTAGCTTTAATTGATTGATGAATTTAAAAACTTTTGCATCAACTCAAAGGAGTTCCAAGATAAGTGGGCAGCATATTTCACTCTTGGTGTGTGTGTGTGTGCGCACACACACACTTACAAAAACTACAGACACAAATAGCAGTTTTTAAAAAATCACTCCTTTTGTGTGTGAGAAATATGAAGAATGTCTCTTTCAAGATGATGCTTCATTGGCTTATCTTGAAAGCAGTGTATGTGTTTACTTTATTCCACTGTAACCATACTGGCATAAATGTACATTTTATTTCAAGCACCTTTCTTCTGCTTCCTGTTGTTATGTTGACCACATCCACTTATGTACCAGTTAGCGCCAATTGCAGTATCTATGTACAATCACTCTAACTTTGGCAAGTCTATCTCTTTTTCAACAGGAATAATTTGAGATTAGGCTAGTTCCTCACAATTGTGTACCTCCTGAGGTCCATTCTAGAGGAAGGAGTTTTGAACCTATATATGATGATTTTGTGTTTCAAGCACTGCCACCAACCACAGAACGATGTTATGAAACCAACCCTCTACTTGGTTTCTGCTGCTTCAAATGGTAAAGCACTTAAAATAGTTTTATAACAGTTTTTAACTGCCATAGCTCCAACCTAGAGAATCCTGGGATTTGTTGTTTAGTGAAGTATTTAGGGGTGCAATTCTGTGCAGTGCATAAGGTCTTTCCAGCAGAAAATACTAAGTCTGTTCCCATAGTGTAAATCTCAGGATCCCCTAGGAAGGAGTCATGCAAAACTCATATCAAGCTCCTGTGACTTTGTGATGTAAATGCAAAGAATTGGTTTAGGTCTTCCATAGGAATGTAGCAGAAATTCCCAGTCCCAGCTACTATTTTCCTTACATTCTTGTTCCCACACTACTTTGTACAGAGAAATGTCAGTCTTCTCACAAAATATTTTTTTTCCTATTTCTTGACTCTACTTCCTCGTTGTTTCCTATGTCAAGGAAGTGTGACGGATGTCTTCTCAGAAGAAGGAGGAGGAGGAGGAGGACAAGGGGTAGCAGAGGAAATGAACAGGAATTAATTTTAGATCTCAGATTGCTTGCCTATTTCTCTGTAAAGCAAATTTAAGATCTTTTCATTAAAACATTTTACAGCATGAGCACATGGAACATCAATATAGATTATAAGTGTTCTGTGATCCAAATATCTTTTTCTTGTACATGTTTCCTTGATTTCTTAGTTTAAGAATAAAGCTATCTATAGAGATATTTCTAGTGTGATTTGTGCCGTATTAATAACATAAGTAGCACAATGCAGCTTCTTAATCAGATTTAATCCTCTTCTCTCCTTTCCCCACAGTGACCCTGATTTTTCCGAGGGTGGAGGAGGGGCCCGATTTGCTATCAGATCTGGAGAGGATCTGCTTCGTTTGCTGTAGCAAGGCAGAGCCAAACAACCCTGCGAAGGCCAGCTCTCTATTACTCACAGAAAGTTAGCTTTCCAGAATGAAGGTCCCTAATGCTTGGATGGTCAACTGACACCCTGTTTTGTACCATTTAGTCAAGTAGCCTGTCCTTTTCATCATGGTAAGTGGAAGCAAGCATAGTATTGCTTGAAATTATATTCACTAATTTCAACAAGTCATTTTGGAAAATCATTTTTAACAAGTTTAAAAACTGATGGCGACTTGTTCTCTCCGTCCCTCTCTACCCGCAAGTCACATGAAGGCCTGCTTTGGGAAAATATAGTAATTAATAAAAATGCATCTAATAATGAAAGCAAGGTTATGGACATTTTGAATCTCACATTAATTCTTGAAAATAGCTTTTGATGCAGTACATATGCAGTTGTTGCTCAAGCACTCAATTTCGCTGCCAGTTGGGTTTTATCTCATGACATGTTATAGAAAGACACCATTTAGAAAAGAGAGGTTGACAGTGAAGCTGTCAACCCACTTGAGAAAAGATTCAAAATGACTTTGCAAGCTGATTCACAGCAGAACAGCAAGCTACACAAGGCTGCAGTCTTCAAACAGCACACTAGGTTGGTACTATCTGATCTCTTTGGTGTAAGTCATTTAAGCACCAAAGCCACTGTTCTTTTACAAGCTTTCAGAAAGGTCTTTAATGAAATGCTTAAACTGGGAAAACGTTATTTACAATGTCACCCAGACACGAGGAAACGACTGCAGTTGTCAGATACCTTTCCAGAATAGTTTCATGGAATGTAATACGTACTTTTTAATGTGGTCATTTATTTATTGGAAGTATTTACTTGTTGGTCTTCATTCCACATCCCATGCCACAAGTGATGCAGAACACCAAAAAGATTTTTAAAATTATTTAAATACAGATTAACAGAGTAAGGCGTTTGAGCGTTTTATCGTATCTTAGATTCATTATCCTTTAATGCTTATGTTAAACAGGTGGGAAATACCGTATCATTACAGTATAATGAATAATTATGTCACCCAGGCTCTTGCTATTCATTATCATTAATACAAAACGTTCCAGTGTGGTTTGGATGCCCAGAAATGGAATCTTACACCGCAAAAGGCCACATGCTGCAGTTGAGCAAAAGAGATAACCTGGGGAAATTTCATCTTAAAACATCTACTTCATGTGCATAGGTGACATGTTTTGCCTCCGCCTCTTGCTTGGAGTGCTATAGGGCCTAAGTTGTGAGGGTGGCGAAGTGTGTATGGAAGCTGAAGCAGGTAGGTCACACAGGGTGGCTGAGAGACACTTGAATTCCTTCCTTGCCTGGCTATTCTCCCTGGCCACCTGCCCCCTCATTCAAGGACACTTTGGAGAAGCTTTGAATTGCAGTGCTTTTGCAATTGACTGGGAGTGACCTCAGCCCAGCTCTGCCCCCTTTACCCACACCCTCCCACCCACACACTTGCAATGTCTGAGCTTAGAAAGCTTGAGTAGTCGCAGTGTGTCCATGAGGTATAATTAAAGGCTTGGCTCCCACTTAGAAGGCCTCTTGTGCTGAATACTCCTGCCTCTGGCCTTGTTTTTCATCTGAAGAAGAAGAAAGAGGCAGGCAAAAAGGGGAGTAATGGGAGGGAAAATGCTGTTTGGTTTGTGATAAATGGATGTTGTATAACAAGGGGGTGGGATGAAGTGAGCTGTTCCAGGTGGGCTGAAGATTTAGATAAGGTACAAACACACTGAAATGCTTACTACTTGTAACCAGGTGAGCCAACATGATGCAGTGGTTAAGAGCCTCGTGGCACAGTGGCCAAGACTGCTCATGATCTGAATTTGATTCCAACAGGCTATGGTAGAGGTTTGTTCAGCCTTCCATTCTTCTGAGGTTGGTAAATTGAGTACCCAGCTTGCTGTGGGGGGAAATGTGTAGCCTGTATAGTTAAACTGTAAACCACCCAGAGAGTGCTTTAAGTACTATGGATTGCTATATAAGCAGCACACTCTGCTTTTGCTTTTTTGCTGGGGGACGTGACAAGTCCAGGTATCCCAGTGAGTGATGAAACGTGTCGGATCACCTTTCACCATTCTGCCTGTCCCATATGACAGGCTTGTTGAGAGAAGAACTGAAAAGATGGAGAGCTGTGTATGCCATCTTGACCTGACTGGAAAAAAAGGCTGGATATATGGGTAATGAATGAATTACAGGGATAAGCAAGACCTGTACTGGACAGAGCTAAAATTTCCCTGTATTTTAATATTAATGAAGCATAGAGGGTAGCGCTTAGTTCCACCCCTTCCATTCTCTTCACAGTTACTATGCCAGGTCCGATAAGGGAAATAATCCTGCTTGTATATAAGCTCTAATCACAAGCACCAAACCAGATTTTCTAGGTATTCTCCAAAGTACACTGCTGAACCAGGTGGTGGTATGCTATTTTTTTCCATGCATGACTTTGAGGATGCCTGTTTGAGCCAAGGTGTGACGGGAAGGCTATCTACAGAAATTTTCCAAAATACTGATACTGTAATTTCTGTAGATGCTTGTTTTTGTATTTTGTCTCTGATGAGTCCTCAGAGCCAGACATTAAAAATAATCCTCTACCATGCACTGCCACCTACCTCTCCCTTCTTTAGCTGCAGAACATGAAGAACATGTCAGGAAGGGTGCAGATAGAGGCATTTTCAGTTCCAATTGGTGGAGGAGTACTTACCATCCAGGGCTGGACAGTGTGGTGTGGCAACTCCTTAGCTATACTGTGTTACCCCTATATGTAGACAATGCATGCTGTGTTTCCCCTTTCCCCTAAACCCTTCCATGGTGCCCAGTACAGACTTTACGGAGTCTGGACCAAACACAGGACAAAGGCAAAAAGAATGGCTATCCAACCTAATTCAAGACCACTGGTGACCCTATCCTGAAAATACTTTATCTCCTCTGATCCCAGAAGCTAAGTAGCACCAGTGTATTTGAAGATCACCAGTTGAAAAAAGGGCAGTCTTTTTATTTCTTCTTAAACAGTGGCTGTTATGATAGAAAATACGTTTAATTACATCTTTAATATTATATTGCATCATGTTTTTAGTTGTCTCTGTTTTAAGAAATATTTTATAAGTTACTTGGAGGCCTTGCTTTGAGACAAGTATGGAATACTGGGGAGAGTGAGGTTCTCTTGAAGGCTATGAAGACCACTAAATATTCAACAGCCCATTACAGATTAAACAAAATAGGGCCAAGCTAACCTCCTCCTTATACACAGAGGTCCCTAAATTTTATTCTCAACAACGTAGTTTCTTTTAGTGACAGATTATACAGATAAGATGTCTGAAGGAGATTTTAAACTACAGAAGAGTTCATATAAGAGGAGGTAGTCCTTCAGACAATGTAGCCTCAAACCACACAGGGTTTTAGAGGACTAGTCCCAGAAACCAAATGGTCAGTCAGTCCAGCTGATCCAGAATTGGTCAAATGAAATATCATCAACAAGACACATGCCAAAAAGCAATATTGGTCCTGACCTTTTCCACTATCTGAAGTTTCTGAAGACTGTTCAAGAGCAGCCTCATACAGAACATGTTGCAATTGTCACATATACCTTTGCATCTCTAAAATATTTAAGGTCTTGCACCGTGTAAGTTAATTAAAATTCAATTGATTAATTCATTTGTTAAAAGTAGATGTTGAGTCAACTGAAATGTTAAACTATAAACCCCCCAGTGGATCAAATACTGATGGGACTCCAGTGTTCAAAAAGGTGTGCTATTCTTTTTCCTCTTGCTCCAGATTGTCATTTAACACCACTTCCTAGAGTCTCATAGGTGGATGTATCTCATGTAATGTCATATGGCTGTCTTGTGGAGGATGAAGATAACTTGTTCACTGTAGCTCCAGAGCATAGGGCTCTAAGCATCGGATTCAAATTGCAAGTCAGAAGACGTTGACTAAACATTAGGAAAAACTTTTTGGTAGTAAGAACTGTTGGACAGTTGAATAGACTGTCTCAGGAGATGGTGGACTTTTCTTCTTCGGAGGTTTCTAAACAGAAGTTGGATGGCCACCGGTCAGATATACTTTTAACTGTGGATTCCCTGCTTCATCAGGAGTCAGATTTTATGACCCTTAGATTCCCTTCCATTTCTATAGCCCCTATGACTTGAAGAGGGCTGCAGCCCATGAAAGCTTATGCCAAATTAAAAAAAAATCTAGTCCTTAAGAGACCACAAGACTCCTTGTTCCTCTTGCTGCAACAGATTAGCAGGAAATAGGTGGACGTATTCATCTTGAGAAGGATGCATTAGAGGAGGGACTTAAGGGGAAGCAGATTAATTCAAGACTCTTGCATTGGTAAAAACAGAATTACCAGAGGAAAGGGGGCGGGAGAGAGGGAAGAGCTGAGGAGAAGGGAAAGTGAACTCTCTTAATCCTATTAAACGCGGTAGCATGTTTCTGTGGACCTCAGGGAGAGATTAGGCCCAGGAAAGGGGATAAGTGCTGCTTCAGTTTCACTAAACTAATGTGACAACTTGTCATTGGAAATCTTTACAGCTTGTTAGTAGATGACTAGCTGATTCAGATATGTTTTCTACCATTTCTTTTGTGTCTGGGGTAGACGCCTCCCCCCACTTTCCTGTCCCTTTCTTATCTGAGCAACTTCATTTTGTTTTTTTGTTTTTTAATCCTTCTTGTCTCCTTCAAGTCAAAACATTTAACTGCCTTTAATCAATATTTTGTTCTAAGATGTCCCTTGACCTTTGGTTGGGGCAGATTTAACCTTCAAGGGCATCCCATTCATCCCTGAACCAAAGGATGGCTAAGTGCTGTGTCCCTTTGTGCATGACAGAAGTGGGTTATAAAATGCCAGTTTTGCCCCAAATGCTGCATGAAGAGCTTGGCATGCAACGTGGGGCAGATGACGTGGTGGCAATTAAAATGTAAGCGAAGGAGAAACACGAAATCAGCAGGCTTACAATAAGGACTTAGTGGTTCCCTGCTCCTCTTTCCACTTTTTAAAGCAGGTGAGCAACTTGTTTTAAAGCATACACCCCTTTTTTTCTTCAAGCCCTCTCTTGCTGCCTGTGCCTGCCCCCACCGCTGCGTCTGCTCTCACTTTCCTACCACCAAAGGCGTAATAGTTGCATAGATGGAAAAAAAA